TTATGGAAAGTAATTTATTTACAGTATATTAACAACTGTCAAATTTAGAACGTAAGTAAATAATGTTAAGAAAATTTTTACAGCTTCGCAAAATTTACGTGGAAAAGGATTAATTATTATTAATCGATATTGCAGATTGTAGGCCAAACCTACATTGATTGTTTGCAACTCTTCTTTATTAGCATCGTAAAAGCATTAAGTGTTTGTTGTTGATTTTATAGTGAGTAAGTTAAATATGGTATATTTTTTATGCTTTAATTAATTGTATTAATATTGTCGAAGGCATGATGTTGGCTTTTAACGTATTTTTTAATTTAATAGTCAAATTTAAAGAGAGTAAGTTAAATACTTTATCATTATTATTTTGCGTTAATTTTATATATTCTTATTGTTTTTATATTTCATAACTTAAATGAAAACAATTTTAATTATATATTAACTTATATATTAATAATCAAAACCTTGTAGTGAGTACGTATGTCGAATCATATATATCTCGTTCATTCCTTAAACCTACACGTTAAGGTTATTATATTAATTATACTCGCACGCAATTAAATTTATACAGGGGCGGGTAAGTTTAGGATACTGTAATCAATTTGTTAAACAAAAAAATGGTACAGTAAACTGAACCAGCGTGCTTATTTTGTAACTGATATGTTACTCATTACAGGCGGTAAGTCGAATCGAGCATGTTTTTTTATTTAATTCGCAAATACGCATGAAAAATGATTGAACTATTTTTTCTCATCTGGCAGATTGTAAGTTAATTGGAATATTTTTATCATTAGTTTGTAAAGCAATTTTTTTAGTGACATATTGTCGACTATACATTGTAGGGTGTAAGTTGATCATGACAATTTTCTAAATTTATTTTGTAATTATACAAAAGATGAATTGATTATGAGTATTAATTTTACGGAGAGAAGGTAAACTTAACATACTTTTTTGATATTTTAAATTGAAGCTCGGATTTTTTAGATTATAAGTTGCCCATCATATTTCCATTGGCTTTCTTGTTTCATATACTTAACTAATATACAAAAAAAAATTTAACAGCAATTTAATTCTTTTACTGTATTTTACAGCCTGTAAGTAGTTCATTTATATTTTCGTCTTTTTGTATACAAATTTATACGAAAACAATTTGATTACGTACTGACCTTGGTTTTTAGTATGTAAGTAGTTATTTGTATTTCATATTTTATACGATTTACTTCTATTTGCGTCTTTTTCCATACAAATTTATACGAAAGTAATTTGATTACGTACTGACCTTTGTTTTAGTCTGTAAGTAAACGTAATTAAGTATTTTTTCTTTTTTCATAATTTGGTTAAATATTAATTATGCGCTGAAATTTGTTTTAGATGGTAGTTGAATCGATTTTTTGATATAAAGAATATATTTTACGTATTTACCTAATTTTCTATATACAGATGGTAAGTAAATTTTGAAATTTACGTTATTTTCCCTGTCATTTTATGTGAAATGTGCATTATTATATTAATTTTTGAACTTTATATTGTAGAGTGTAAGTTAAATCTATTACACCGTAAATTTTTTTATAATTTAATAAAACCAATTGATTACATAATTATTTCTTTTGTTCTATAGTTTGTAAGTTGAATTTAGCAATATTTGTCACTTTATTTTAGATAATATGAATAATTTTTTTTTTAATAATATCTTAGATGGTAAGTAAAATCTCGCATTCTTTTTACATTATGCAATCTAATTGTGTTGATAATTATCAATTTTTGCAGGGGGTGAGTGAAATACTAAATGATATTATTATACGTACAGTATATTCTCAAAAGCATGATTAATAAAAATTATTATTATTTTGCGTTGCAGATGGTAAGTAAAAATTTATTATATTTTACATTGATCCCAAGGTTACAAGTTGATGATAATTATTTTATTCATATGTAGTAAAATGTAGGTAGCATCTCACAATAAGTATTTGACATTATTCTACGGATTTTGTAAAATTAATTTTACTATATGAATATAATATAGCCAACTTCGTAAAAAGTAAGTGTGAACATATTTATTGTATATTTTGCAAATAGGTTTATAAAGTAGTCTAATAATCATACTGGTTACTATACAATTGTAACTATCTGTAGCAGGTAAGACGATCAAGCACATTCTATTACAGTATCCGTTTTTATAAATATAAATAAAGATGTTTTGATCCTTCTATATTACTGTAGATGGTAAGTCATATTAACAAAGTATTTTCAACTTCGTTTTATTAATATACTGTAACCCAATAATATTAACGTTTTGACATTGCAGACGGTATGAATGTGTTTACACAAATTTGCCAAAAAAAATAATTTAATCAAATCTTTACTCTTAACATTATAGATTGTAAGTTGAATACAGTAGTACTTCTCCTTATTTGTTTCGAATTTTTATAAGAGACATGATCATATTATTAACTTGAAATTTTATAGGGGGTAATTATCGTTCGTTGCTTCAAAAGTTTATATAAAAGAAATTAATCAAATTTAACTTAATTATATAGATTGTAAGTTAAATTTGATCATTTATTATTTTTTCTAAGATTTAGAATATTGTTTTACTAATTATTAACCATTATATTTATAGTGTGTAAGTTGTATTTAGTTGTTCTTTTTTAAATTTGCGTAAAATTATTAATCATAATTCTTCACCAACACTGCAGATGGTAATTAAAAACCGTATTAGAGTTATTGTTTAGTCAATTCATTAAATATACTGAGATTATTATAGGGGACACATGTAATCAGTGCAAGAAAGGAACAACGGCTTCTTTTTGGTGTCAACCATGTAATTCATCACGATTTCGGCAAGAATTTGATAATTGGAAAAGTGGAAATAGGGACATTGATGAATTCATAAAAGATACTCAATTACAAGCCACCGATAGTTATACAGTGCTCGAATGGATTCCTTATTCAAGGTTTAAAGATGTAACTTATATTGATAAAGGTGGCTTTTCAGAAGTATACTCAGCTGAATGGACTGAAGGAAATATTCTTTATTGGAGTGCGAGAAATAGTCGGTGGAAAAGAAGGGGAATTATGAAGGTCGCACTAAAATGTCTTTATAATTCACAAAATATCTCTTATGGATTCTTGAATGAGGTAACTGATATTTAAATAAAAAAATGATTGAATACTGAATTTAATAATAATTGATTGTTTATTCATATATAAATTTAGATGAGAAATTATTACAATTTTAGTGGAAATGCCTCTCATATTACACGATGTTATGGAATCACCCGGCACGATGAAACAAATAATTTGATGATAGTGATGAAGTTTTTTGCTTTTGGAAATCTTAAGAATAACCTACCTATATTTTGTGAGATGTCATGGGAGGCTAAATTTAGGAGTTTATTTAGAATTGCAAAAGGATTACACCAAATCCATGAGGCCAAACTTGTTCATCGAGATCTTCATACTGGAAATATTCTTTTATCCGAAGGAAATCTACTTTACGTGACGGATTTAGGTCTATGTAAACCGGTCGAGCAGTACACTAGCAGCATAGCCGAAAAGCAAAAAGTGTATGGTGTACTTCCATACGTAGCACCCGAAGTTTTATGCGGGGGAAAATATACAGAGTCATCAGATATATATTCATTTGGTATCATTACGAATGAAATTTTATCTGGTATTCTCCCTTTTATAAACTTGCCTCATGATAGCAACCTCGCAATTAGAATCTGTAATGGCCTCCGGCCCAAAATCAAAAGAAATATGCCTAGTCTAGTAACCGAGTTGATAGAGAGGTGCTGGGATGCTGAACCGCAAAATCGATTAAGAGCGTACGAATTATACCGTATTTTACTAGCATGGTGTCATTATAAGTGTAGCCCAAATTCCGAACTTGCAAAACAAATCAAGGAACATGAAAATATTGGGTCAAATTATTTGGCTAGTAGTGTAACATGTGAGAAACATCAATCAGCAATATATACGAGTCGACTCCTCGATTTCGAAAATCTTCGGGATTCGCTAAGCTCAACAAATTCTGATCATGGTAAGTAATTAACCTTTATCATCCTTACTCCTTATATATTTAATAACCAATTATTAATTGTGATCAATATTTTCAGATTCTAAATTTGCGACTTTGAAGGTTAAATCTAATAGTGTAAGAATAATAAAAATAAAAAAGTCCCAATAGAATAGGAAGCTATATTATTTTTATATATTTACTTAAATATTATTTAGAATATCAACATTATGAAAAGGTTAATGTTTGAATTATTTGGCATTAATGCTACCATTTCCATTCTTATATTTTTGTCAGAAGGTTGTGAAATTTAACGTAAAATCAAATTTATAATTTCTATCATAATCTTTCATTAAAATAACTTTTTTAACATACAGTGTCGCGGGTCAGGGGTCTATCAGCAGTAACGGCGAAATCCTAGACTTCGCGATACTTCGACAGGGGTATCTGTTATAACAGGGGGGGTTAAAGGCAGAAAGAGGCGTAGATTTGGCGAGTTTGTGTGATTTGGGGGATTTTATTGGTCAGAACAGTGCGATAAGTAGGTCGATTTTAACACTCTTTTATTGACTAATTTTTCCGCTCCTCCTTTTCTACTATATTTCATTACATCGTTTTTATACTTTTTCTTACGGCAAAAGAAAATAAAAGAAATAACGAGGTTGAGGGTCGATTACCCGTTTTGGCAACCTCTATAATGCGCGATCGTCGTTTTCTCAATTTCTAAGCCATATCGTCGATCGTCGTTTCCCCGTAACAACAGTAAACTTATACCGAAATATTCAAGCACCATTTTTGTTTTGTCTATTTACCATAAATATATTACTATTAATTTTATAGCAAAAAGTGACTTTCCAAAGAGTAACAATAATTTAACCTAATGCTGCGCGGCAATAATTACATGAAGTCATTGATTCTATTTGTTACGTATTATGCTTTTTAGGTGAGATCTTTGATTCAGTTTGGAATTTAATAGCCCATTTATCTATGCTTTTGGTAAATCTTTCTTGGGTTGTGATGCAGATGATACATTTATCTCGGTTTCCAATAAATTCTTTTCGAGATGAGCTATCCCAGAAATTTCAATTCAGAAAATACTTCAGATGTAATTTCAAGCAAATGAGACCATTATTGATGATCTCTTAAATAGTAAGTTCTAAGATAGAATTTGCGTTATAGTTCTTAATATATTGAATTTTATTTAACCTATTTTTTTTGAATACCTTATAAATTTTTACAGCGAGAGTTTTTTGCGCAGGATATTTCGTAATATATCTGAAACTTGTAAAGCCAAAACCTTGTGATCATTTTTTACGAAGAATACTGAATTTATTTTAAATTCATTATAAATTAATATTCTTGCTTTTTCTTGCAAATTTATTTTTCCCGCTCATCTCACAAACTTGAAATTCAAAATACCTACCATAAAGAAACCAGCACATTATTTCTTTCTGATTAGCCTTCGAAGCTCGATCTTCAGTACATACGACTGTATTGCATAACTGAGATAAACGTAGCAATATCTTACGAATGAATTAACAATACACTTCGTAGAACCATCTATGCTCTTAATTTTTCAGGACGGGCCGTCTCGAAAATTTTGATATTCCCTGGTTTAATATTTTTATATAGTGTGATCCTGTGAACTCGACTCTAAAGGAGTATGGAACAATTCTTGCCAGGGTTTATCTGTTCCCTTTTTTTATAGCTAACCAAAGATAGGTCTTGATCTCAAAGTTCTCCAATACTGAGTTGCTTTATCTTGCTACTAATTCCTTCCTTACTTTTCAAATTCAGAAACTCATCGATCTCTTTATTCCGATGATTTAAGCTCGAGCAAGTATGTATGAATATGAGAAGAAATATTATATGATGCTTCGTGGAGAATAAATCTTCTAACACGTGTACGTCATCATTTTGCGTCTGCTTCTGTTCTAATTTTGACTGTCTTGAGCTCGGAATTTTCAGCAAAGATATTACTGGTGTCTATTTGTTTTTCGTTTCTAGCTCCTCGGACCTGATCTTGAGCTCAGAATTTGCTTATACTGTATAGCTTGTATTTTCGGCCTTGACTTCAGAATTTTCCGAAGCTCAGAAATCTTAGTCAAGAACTTCAAATTTAATTCCTGAAACGAATCGATTTTTGATTAAGCAGATTGAGATTCAAGATCTGATGGCATGCTTTGTTATAAATTTTATATAGAGTGCAGATTCATTTAAATTATCGTGTTTAAAATCAACTGATCACTTTTACTAAGAAAATATATAGCCGTAATAAAACCGTGACCGAAACGCGATTGGGATTTATATATTTCAGAGTAGAGCTTGGACGACTATCTCAAATAAAACCATACTTTATTACCCTCATTGTCACGCGTAAAAAATCCAATGCTTAGCTATCTGGAAGCTTATACACATGACCCTTATTACCTTTTTTGCACACGCATTATATTCTCCAATATTCCCTTTTGTTATCTGGTTTCAAACATACGGAGGAATTCGTCTCGAATTAGCAGGAAATCAAATACAATTGAATCCGGGAGAAGTTGTCGATGAATTGTGATTCTAGGAAATGCATCATGATACAAACAATCCAAAGAAATGTTGATGACACATTGACCTGGTATAATATTTGTCGGATTCCCATATTGGTCGTGGGTGCCAAATTCAAACTAAAAATCAAACAACATGTTGGAAGTTTGTCACATTGATAAAAAAATTATTTTTATTTTTTTATGACATTACATAAGTCCGAGGTTGGATATCTGCTGTTCTTCTGGGTCTGTCACTGACGCAAAAATGCCATGCCTGGTGCGGATTAAATTCTTTAAAATGTCAAATATACAATGAAATATCATATGCACTTAAAAAATATAACTTACTTGCATCCATAAAGGAGGTTGGCCTAGAGGTGCTTCACCAATCTTAACAACGATCGCGTCATGAACACGACTAAGGTTACCTAACCAGTAATCTTTCACTTTTTCCAGGACATGCTCTTCACTCTCAGAATGAGCCACTTCGACGACGAGATTCGGCCATGGTTCATCCTAAATCGTAAAAAAATAAAATTTTGGCTCTGAAAAGCTCAGATTCAATAAAATAAAAATAAGGCACCTGTTCATCACACCCATTTGGTGGTCGTACTCGTGGTTTTGAAGGACGAAAACATGCATCCGCTTCTTTCCCAGAATTGTCAGCGCGAGTCCCTTAAGAAAAATAAGATTTATTTGATATCGCAAACATAAAGCCGACAGTAAATTAATTAACATTTACGGATTGCGCCGAGATTCCCGATACTGGCATCAGTTCGTTTAACAGGAAGACATTTCTCTACTATCTCTGAAATGATCGCACCAATAAGAGTTTCGTGTGGCTTTGATGGAAGTTCATAAATGATGACTTTATAATCAACCCATTCCCAATAGCCACGAACGTTAAACTTGTCTGAACGCCGTTCATATTCATCCAAGGTGACGCCAACGGCAAGTGTATACGGAAGTCTTGATATGAGTAGCAAAATTGAAATTTATTTCACTAGATCATAAAAATATCCGGTCAGCATTAAAAATAAGTAAAAAAGGGATTTACGTTGCTTCTTTCCAATTTGCTTTTTGATGAAAATCGCCTTTTTCCCACCATAAGGTTCTATAATAGTGGTGTTCAGGCATTCTATTTTGAACAACATCAACGCTATCACTAAATAATAGCGCTGGAAAGTTAGCTGGATGATTAGAGAAATATCAGTTACACGTATTTACTTACGAAGTGGTTTTAGACCTAGCACTTGCTCTGCTAACATTGCTAAAAGTTCGAACAAAGGAGTTGGTGTGTGCTGCCATTTTGATTTGTAGAAGATAATTGCAAGCGAAAAGAGATACTGCCGAGTACCCGTATTTCTAAAGGAATTTTTTTTCACGAGGCAAAGCCAACGGAATTTACGGTATTATGCTAGTGATTTATGTCACGATCAGATTGTTCGACATGTCAGTGTCACAAGGGCGCAGTACATTTATTTTGTTTTCAAAATCGTCACAAAAAATTTATTCAGTGTGGTAATGCTACTCAACTTGCCGAGGTGGAAATATGCGACCTCACCTCGAATTGATTATATGTTGTATACTGTATGATGTTTCTAGACAAATATTGATTAAGAAATCAAATTTCTCCGACAATTACCGAAAATAGTAAAACCCATATTCAGCGGGATATCATCAATTCGACATGTAAGCTAAAGAAAAAAATTTTTTTTTAAATGATACTGCATCTTCATATTCATCTGAGTCAGGGTCTGGTTCTAACAATTAAATGGATATCAATATGATAAAATTAAAAGAAGCGTAATTAATCTTGATCATGGATTTGGAATGGTACTACCTGCTCGGGTTATTGACCCTTTATAAAATCTACGTAATTCGAATTTGAAAATACATTAACAATGTACGGTAAACATTAATATTGAGGTCTGGATAGATATACCAAATTCGAATTAGTTTATATCTAATTTTGGACGTATTAAAAATAATAAATAAATAATTTTAAGAAGTTATATATCCAAAGGAGGTTATATACGAGATATTACATCATAGACTAGTCGCAGATTCATTTATTCTGAATTTAGAAAACAAACCTTTTGTTAAAAACATCAATTGCATTAAGATAGATAATCGAGTAGAAAATTTGGAATGATTAATTTATAAAAAAAATGCCAACAGTAAGGTGTTTCCGAGGCAGATCTCGAAAATTTGTACAGTATAATTTGTGATAAATGGTAGATTGGGATTCACTTCTTGCGCAAGATGCACTTAACATTTATAAAAGTGTAATTAAGGCGTTTAGCTGGAAGATGGTGTTGGATGTATTTTAAGATTATAAATAATCAGATACTAATGAAGAATGGTATAATCACACAGGGAAGTTAAATTCAGGATATTTTCGAATCGGTAGAGGGTTAAAATTATTATGTTCATCGTTTAGTAGCATTAGCTTTTGCTCAAAAGAACAAGTTATAAACCATATCAAAGAAAATTTGACTAATAATACAGTATAATAGATGTCTATATGGCACTGTACCAGATTCTATTTATCATATTTGACTTCTTACTACTAAATTTATGCTAACAATATTCTAGATTATTTAAAAATAATTTTTATGAAATTTTTCCTTTAGTTTTTTATACACTGGTTAATCTTTAATCAGAATTTTTTGTGAAAATTCTAAAAAATTATGGTTTTATGGTTTAATTTTGAGAAAATATCTTTAAGGAATGGTTTGAAAGCGCCAATTGGTTTACTTTTAATTTTGTGAAAAAGTTTAATAATAAATTTAATGGATTTTTTATATTGATTAATTTACTGTATAACTTAAATTATTGGCCTATAAAATGCAAGACTTGATAGTTTCAATTGATTGTTAAAAAAGTAATGCTTATAAATTTCTATAATAGAAGTAATTATTTGAATATTGCTAGGTAGGAAGAATTAATTTAATCTTGTATTATATATGTGAATATATAATAATTTGTTCTCACATATGGCTAGAGCTCCTAACAGTACTATTTTGATATAAAGTTGGTACTGAATTTACTATAAATTTAATATAATAAATCACAATCCATATATTAATTTTATTATAAGCCAGTATTATTTCAGTATTAATTTATTACCCTACATGGAACCAAATTAATTGTCTTTAAATTTAATGATAATTACATATTATTTTTATTTTTATAATCAATCTACATGTTATTGTTACTGATTTTTTCTCAATTAGAACATAAGTATTTGAAGCAATATGAAAAATTTTGCTTTTACTCCAAAATAAAAGTTTTAAAGTTTTTTTTAATTACAATATTAAATATATTTTGGAAAATATAATAGTTATAGTTGAGTTTTGATTTAAAAGTTTTTTAAAAATTTTGATTTTGTCTTTATTCCAAAGTAAAAATATGTGAAAAAAATTTAAGTATGTCAAGAATATAGGATCTAAGAAAATTACTTTAATATCAATATAATAACAAACTAATCTTTTTTAAAAAAAATTTCAAATTATATACTATATGAACAAAAGTAT